AGGTCGGGCTGGGGCGCACGGGCAAGCTGTGGGGCCATGAGCACCACGGCGTCTCTCCAGACATGATGTCTTTGGCCAAGCCGCTGGCAGGTGGGTCTGCGCCTGGGCCTGGTGTGTGTGGGTGTGTGGGTGGGCAGGCCATTGGAGGGTACCAGCGGGGGGGTGGGTGTGTGGCAACCGGCGTGTGTGGTGGGAGGGGCAGGCCAGGTGTGGGGGGTGGGCAGGCCAGGCGGAGGGGCCATACAATGCCTTGTCAGGCTTGCGGGGCAAGCTGCTGGCGGCTGTGTGGGGTGGGCACGCCAGCGCGAGGGGCCAGCAGGCCGCTGGCCAGTCGCCGGGCAATCGGGGGGCTGGCAGGCGGGCGCGCCAGCAGGCCACTTCATGTTGCCGGCTCGGGCCTGCAAGCCAGCGGTCAGCACCGTGAGCGCCTGCAGGCTGTGGCATCCTGGTGACCTGTGTGCCCTGCCCTCCTGTCACCCCGCCGCCGAGCCCCCCTGCCGTGCCTCCCCTCCCCGCCGCGCTTTCCACGCAGGCGGCCTGCCCATCGGTGCCGTGCTCCTCAAGGAACATGTGGCGGCGGTGATGGCGCCCGGCGACCACGGCTCCACCTTTGCCGGCAACCCGCTGGTCTGCCACGCCGCCTGCACCGTGTTTGATATCATCTCAGACCCAGGTGGGCTGGTGGCAGCGGTGTGTGGGTGGTGGTGGTGATGCGTGTTTGCTGTCTGGTGTGCGTGGTGGTGGCGGGTGTTTGCTGTCCTGGTGTGTGTGGTGCTGGCAGTTGCTTGCGCGTGTGTGTGCGCGGTGCTGGGGCGCACCGAAGGCCGCAACCATGTACCGGCTGCAGAGGCCGCCAACTAGCGTCCGGCCAGGCGATCCTCCCTCGCCTGGCCAATGCCAGGCTGCCGCCCCGACTTGCTGGCTGCTGCTGCTGCTGCTGCTACCCGCTTGGCCCCCTGCAGAGTTCCTGGCGGGCGTGACCCGCAAGGGCGAGCTGCTGCGGTCGGGGCTGCGGGCGGCGTTGGAGGGCAACCCACACGTGCAGGCGCGGCGCAGGCGCCCGGCGCGCCCCTGCTCCCACACCGCCGCCGCCGCCGCTGCCCCCACACATCCACCGCTGCCGCCGCCGCCCCCACCGCCGCCGGCTTCCTTTTCGGCCGCCGTTTCTCCGTCGCATCGCTTTGGCTGCCTCGACAGCTGCGCATGAGTCCACCTGGCACCCACCGCCCTGCTCTGCTCTGCTCTGCTCTGCTCCGCTCTGCCTGTGGCTGCAGGAGGTGCGCGGCCTGGGCCTCATCTGTGGCGTCCAGCTAGACCAGGTGGGTGGGCACGTGGGTGGGGCACGCTGGGGGGTGACGGCACCAGGCTGCAGGCTGTGGGCACCAGGCACCAGGCTGCGTGTGGTTTCTGTGGGCGGGTGGGTGACTCGGGCACGCCCTGCGGCCCCACCGCCTGCTCAGCCGCACCCGCCTGGCGCCCGGCTCGCTGCGGCTTGGCCCTCTGCTGCCCCGCCGCCGCTGGCACGAGGCCGAGCCGCCACGCCGAGTGGTTTCGAGGCATCGAGGCCGGCCCGCCCACCCCTGCCACTTGCAATTGTGCAGATGGCAGGCCCACTTGTGACGGCGGCCCGCGACCGCGGCATCATCGTCATCACTGCGGGCAAGGGAGACATTGTGCGGCTGGTGCCCCCCCTGGTGGTCAGGTGGGGCGGCGGCACGGCGGCCGCGGCAACGGCGCCGCGGCACGCCAGCTGCCGCGCACCAGCCGCGCCCTGCACTGCGTTTGGTGCTACCGACGTTTCCAAAATCATGCCGCTCCTGCCGCTCCCCGCACCACGTTCAGCACCGTGCACTTTGCTGCTGAAGGCTGAGCCCCATCCCTGCTCGGTCCGCGCTGCCCCTTCCCCCACCCCACGCTGCAGCGAGGAGGAGATTGAGAAGTGCTGCAAGGTTCTGGGCGAGGTGGCAAAGGAGGTGCTGAAGTGAGGCGGCCACCGAGCGGCTGCGAGAGGGGAGCACGGTCTGCTGCGCCGTCCCCGCCAGCGCCCGGTGGTTGCCCATTGCGCCGGCTGTGTATTTTGACGCTGCTGGGTTCTGTGAACTATTGAAATCATCTTCGTCTGGATTCTTCCATCTAACTCTCGAGTTGCGCGAGGACGACAGGAGACGAGCGCAAGGCAGCAGGCGCCCATCGCCCGCCTGGCGCCAGATGAGGCCCCCGTTGATCTTGCCTGCCTGGTGCCATCAGGCGCCACTTTCTCCCGCCTGCTGTTCATCGGTGGGCCTTCTCCCAGGCAGCCAGAGAGGAGCGGCCGCCCCATGGCGGAAGACTATCCCACCAGCGAGCTCTGGGTCGGATCTCTATTGGAGCAGACCACCGCGGATGATGTGCGAGCCGTGTTCAGCAGGTGATCGCCGCATGCCCATGTCGCTGATGTGCGCCTCCCGAGGCCCTGGCTGCTCCAGACAGCAGGAGCAGCAGCAGGGGAGCGGGATTTGCTCTGCCTCCAAGGCCGCAATGGCACCCCCGCCGCCGCCGCCGCCGCCGCCGGCCTCTCCACCGCCTGGCCGGGCCGCTGACTTCCCACCCTCGCCGCTGCGCTCAGGTACGGCACCGTCCACTTCTGCCACATGGGCCACCACCCCAACCCCAGCCTGCCGGTGGCCTATGCCAAGGTGACGATGGGCTCGGTGGCGGAGGCAGCCGCCGTGGCGGCCGCTCTGCACAACGTCGCCGTGCCACAGCTGAGCGGCGGCCAGGAGCTCAAGGTGCGCTGCGTGCGCCGCTTCCTCCCTCCTGCATCCGTGTATTGTGTGCGCCGAATCGTGCAGCCTGATGCACCCATCTGCACCCATCTGCGCCCTGTGGGCACCCGCGCGGCGCCTGCAACAAGGCTGCTCCAGCCAGGTGGCATGCGGCACCTCCAGATTCAGGGTGCTGACCGGCGCCCCTGCCGGCTGGTGCTGCAGGTCCATTTCGCGCGCGTGGCGGCAGCGGCCGTGCCGCAGTCCCCCCGCTCGCCACTGTCGCCGCGCGGCCGGCTGCCGCCCGACTCGCACTGCATCACCGCCGGCGCCGGCGCCGGCGCCAACGGCAAGCCGGCGGCGCGCCCCAGCAATAGCTCCGGCCCGAGCCTGGGCCCCCCCGCGGGTCCGCAGCGCTGCGGCAGCTGCGGCAAGGCCGAGAGCGCCGTACTGGCGCTGCGCCGCTGCAGCGCCTGCAAATGCGTCGCCTACTGCTGCACCCCCTGCCAGCATGCCGACTGGCAGGCGCGGCACTCGGGCGAGTGCGCTGCGCTGCAGCAGCTGGGCGGCCTGCTGGCAGGCAACGGTAGCGTGGCTGGCATGCTGCAGGCGGCGATGGCGCGGCCGCGGTCCGGCCTGGGCCGCGCCGTGCAGGCGCTGCTGGCTGCCAGGCTGGCAGCCCTGGAAGAGCAGCAGCAGCAGCAGGAGGGGGTGCAGCAGCCAGCACAGCAGGCAGAGCAGGTGCAGGGGGGCGAGGCAGAGCAGGAGGAGGAGGCGGTGGCAGCAGGGGAGGTGCAGGAGCCGCAGGCGGCGCACAGCGAAGAGGGCCGGGGCGCGAGGCAGCCAGAGGCGCAGCCGGAGGCAGCAGAGGTGCAGCAGCCGCAGGCGGCGGAGCCGGCAGGCGCGCCGCTGCGCCCGGCGGCAGGCAGGGAAGCCCAGGCAGCAGAGGGGGATGGCCAGGCAGCCAGGCAGCTGGTGGCGGCAGCCTTCTCAGCTGCGCTGGCGCGGCAGGCGCCGGCACCACTGCGCGGCGCTTCGGCAGCAGGAGGGGGGCAGGAGGCGGCAGTGGGTGATGCCCAGGCAGCCAGGCAGCTGATGGAGGCGGCGATTCAGGCGGTGGTGGGCGCCGAGCAGGCAGAGGCAGAGGCGCGCCTGTAGGCCTGGGAACGACGGCAGCCGGAGAAGAGCAGCAGCAAGAGGCTGCGTCTGGAGATGATTATGTGTGGCAGTTTCTGATGTTCTGGCTGTGCCGTGAAACTCATTCACTGCCGTTTCTCAAGGGCGGCAGCGCTGGCAGAGGCCCGTCTGCGTGCGGTGGCCGGTGGCGCCGCACCCCCCGCCAGGGCGGCGCTCGCTGGGGTGAGATGCTCATGCACGCCCCTTCCTCTGTGTGACACATCCAGCTGGCTGGCTCCATTGGTGGTGAGCGTTTATTCGTGGAGGACCTCACATAGGTTGAAAACCCTCCGGACATACGCGGGCACAGCGCAGGCAGCACTCGTGCTGCGGGCACTCCAGGACCAGCACCGCTGTCGCCCTGCTTCCAGGCCGTGACAGGCCTGAAGCAGGGCTGCCCCCTCAGCCCCACCCTCTTTGGGCTCTACATCGACGACCAAAAGGAGGAGCTGATGGCGGCGGCGCGGCGTGGCGAGCGGCTGGACCTCCCCAGCTTCCGTGGTGCCGCCGCTGCTGTACGCTGACGACATGGTACTGCTGGCCACCTCAGCGGCCGGGCTGCAGCGACAGCTGGACCTGCTCCAGCAGTACTGCCGGCAGTGGGGCCTCACCGTCAACATCGACAAGACCAAGCTCATGCTGCTCAGCGGGCGGCGGACCCAGCACGCAGCGCAGCAGACAGCAGATGCAGCAGGCCTCACCTTTGCCGGCCAGCAGCCGGCCATTATTCGCTGGCCCATCACGTTTCAAGCCCCCACCGACACTGTTGCACGTTGCCTGTCGTGGTTCCTAGTGCAACGTTTTCAACGCAGTTTTTACGGTTGGACCCATCAGTAACCCACGGCTCGGCTTGCCCTTACCGTTTGCATCGCTGAGTGCCTATTTGTCTCCACTTTCCCGATGTTTATTTGAAGAGCTTAATATACATTTAAAGACCTTCGAGTGGGCTGCCAGCGCTGAAGGGAGGTAGGGTACCCCTCAGACAGAGCTGGGATGCCCGTGGGCAGGCGGCGCGCGTGGCGGGGGCGGGCACAATGCCCAGCCGCCTTGGCTCTGCGGGGCCCACATTCAGCTTCTAGGAGGCCGCATACGGCTGCTCATGCACCACTGAACGTCATCGCATCCTGGGGGAAGGGCGTAGTGGCGGGTTTTCCGGAGCGCATGCTGTGGGGCGCAGCACAGGGGGGTCAGAGCCAAAGACTTTCGCCCGCCTTTAGAGCCCATTATTGGCCACGCGATTCACACGATGATAGAGAGCCCTGCAAGCTCCAGTTCGGGGCGGGTGAGCAGCGGCAGCGGGGCGTCAGTCTCGGCGCGGACGCTGCATATGGCGGACAGCGAAGTGGGACCGGCCAGCGAGGTTGCCTTCACCGATGAATTTGGAAGCGACTGCTACTGGTGAATTCGCTGCGCTGCTCAGGTTTCTTGTAGTACATGGCCACACAGGCGCATGTGCCACAGGGCTGCCAGAAGCCCATTCCATTGGCTGCACGCGTGCAAACACGCTCGCGTGATGCGACCAGCCCGATTGCGCAAACGGCGGCGCCAGGCAGCGCTATTGCCTGCACCCGCCCCCGATTATTTAGGGTCGCCCTACTGCCCCAGCGGCACAGACTCCACGTGTTCCAGCAGCACCCCCGACCCTCCTCTCCGGAGATCCCACCCCGGCCCCCTCAACTCCCCGCAGGTCCATGAGCTACCACACCCGCTTCTCCGACAGGGTAGTGCTGCGGGACGGCTGCAGCGGCCACACCCTGCTGTGCTGCTACCCCGCAGACCTGCGGCGGCGGCGCTGGAACGTCTGCGCCTCCAACAACGAGCGCGTGGTGCGGGTGCAGTTTGTGCGCAAGAAGGCCTACGGTGAGCGCGCCCGCACGCATGGCGCGCCCGCTGGACTTGCGGGGGGGAGCGGGGTGAGGGTGGGTTTGGGTGGTGGCCCCCCCTGCGGGCTGTGAGCTTTCAGCTCCAAATCGGGCCTGGCCCCGGTCTCAACCCCACCCCCCACACGTGGGACAACGCGCGCGCGCGCGCGCACACACACACACACACACACACACACACACACACACTCTCTCACATGCCCTGCCTGCAGGCGCGGCCAAGTACGGTCTCAGGGTGCTGGCAGCCCACCGGCAGGTGGTGCGCGCGGTGCTGACCCCAGACCCCGACACCGGCAGGCTGGTGATGCGGCAGTACACCGGCAAGAAGCGGGAGGGCCCCGTGATGCTGGAGGCGGCCATGCAGGGAGGCCCCCTCAAGGGCTTCCCCGCCCACCTGGTGCCCGCCGCGGAGCCGGAGACGCCGTGCGGCGGGTGCCGCGCCACGCTGCACCCGCGGGCAGACCCAGTGCTGACGGCCACGCTGCTGGCGCTGTTCAAGTGGAGGCTGGACCGCGACGCGATGCGGGCGGCGGTGAGGCGCAGCAAAAAGCTCAAGCCGGAGAGGAAGGAGAATGCGGGCGGCGGCTGGCGGTTTGGCCGCGGCGGCAGCGGCAAGCTGGAGGTGATTGAGGAGGCAGCCGCCGCGGAGCAGCTGGCGGCCTGGGAGGCAAAGGCGGCCGCCGCGGAGCAGGCGGAGGCCGCGGAGGCTCGGGCGGAGGCCGGTGAGCGGGCGGCCGCAGCCGTAGAGAAGCAGCAGGCGGCGATGCGGCGCCTACGCAGCTTCCCCATTGGCGGCGGCGAGGATGGCTGAGGGCCACCACCACGCCCTGTGAACACGACCCCGCGTGCATCTGGCGCCCAGCACTGTGCACGTTTGAACGCGCCGCCCACGCCGGCCTGCTTTGTTTGCACTGCTTTCTTTCCTGGCCCAATCTATCGCTGTGAGCGCCAGCCAAGCTCTGTGCACACCTTCAACAGCCAGCGACTTGCTCCTTGCATGTATTCCCTGGCGTTCGCCATTGCGCCACCCTGTACCTGTTACCCGTTTGATGCAATAACTGTAAGCAACGCCAACGCATGCTGTGCTCCAGACGGCCAACCCCTGCTCTGGCATTCACGTGGCTGCGCGTGTGCAGCACGCAACCCCAGGCCAGCTGCGCTGACTGCCTGATGGGCGGTTCCCACAGCTGGCTCCGCTCCCACCACCGCCGGCTCACTGAATGTCGTCCGGAGGCTCCATTGCCCTGCCCTGCCCGCCAGTCTCGTGGGGCGGCTGGTAGTCGCTTGGCTTCCCCTGCAGCAGCCAGGGGCGGCCTGCTGCTGCTGGTGCGCACCAGTACTCGCGCGGGAAGGGCAGGCGATGCATGTGGTGGCTGCCGCTGGCACCGGCTGCCGATGCTCATTTCCGGTTAGGCACAGCAGCGTCCCCCGGCCCGCTCATTCGCCAGCTCAGCTCAGCTCAGGCACCGGCAGCAGCGCAGCCCCCCGGCGCTGCGTCACGCAGCAGAGGCGGCCATTTGGCGCGGGGCGCTGCACGCAGCAGCGCAGGGCAAGCAGCAGCCCAAGCAGCGGTGCGCGCCTGCTGGCCAGTGCCGCCAGTCTTCTGCTGGTCATCGGCGGAGGTGCGTGGGCTGGGGCCCTCGCCGCTGTCGCGCGGCACGCCCTCAAACGCCTGCCCGCCCGCGCCCTGCCCGCCCGCCTCCCGCGGCTCGCCGCCGGTCGCCTTCTCCTCGCCCGCCTCGGAGCCCTGCTCGTGGGCAGGAGGTGCAGCAGCGGGGGTGGGGACGAGGCGATCGCAGGGGGCAACCTTGGATTAGGGTTGGGGACCAGTGGCGCAGCAGGCAGGGAGGGAGGCGGCGGCAGCAGGGCAGTAGCAGGGGCAACCTCAACAGACCCGGCGCAGGTCCAAGGGCAGAGCCTCACCAGGGCGGGCCCTGAGCTGAAGATGGCCCTGGCCTGGGCTCGCGCGGCGCGCACCGCCGCGACGGCACGCTGGCGGGCGGCGGGGGACCTGCCCGCCACGCTCGCGAGCACCTGGCTCCTCATCCTGGCTGCTGCTTGGGGTGCAGTGGCAACGCGACACAGGCAGGGGCCGCGAGAATAACGGTGGTAGCAAAGCGGTTAAGCCGATGGTGGTACCAACGCTGACGTGGAAGGTGCTGACCTGGCGGGTTGTTGATACTTGAAGGGAAGAGAGGTTAAACACATTCAATGCCAAAACTGAATGCTGTCGCAACAGAGAAGCGGAGGTGGGCGAGGCAAGGCGGTGGAAGAAATGGAAACTGGAGCAACGGGGTAAGATGATAAGAACGAATTGACAAAACTGGAGGGCATACAGGAAGAAGAAGACAGGAGTAAGAAGTACAAATTGCAGGATCAAGGTGCATGGTGCACGGTTAGGTGGATTGCGGCGCACGCAATACTAGTGGTAGGCAGGGCAAGCAGCCAGCGCGCGGCGAGACGCCTCGGTGCACTTGCCATGGCACTGCCTGGGCTACTGGCCCTCCGCGCCGTCCGCGGCTGCCGGCGGCTGGCCCTCAGCACCATCGGCCAGCCGCTCGCCCTGCGTGATGGCCGGTGGCGGCACCTTGTAGCGCAGCTCACACCGGCAGTGCACCTCATCAGCCACGCACTTCAAGAAACGCATGTCTTCCCGGCTCAGGGGCCCCTCCACTAGCAGCACCCGGCGCTCGTAGGTCCAGGTGTCGCACGGGCGCCCCGGCGCCGACAGCTTGCTGTACAGCTGCACCGCCCTGCAAACAACGGGGCGCAGGTACGGCGCCGATCCATGCGAGGCATGCGTCACAGCGGGCAGCGCATGGCAGGAAGAGGGGCTGGCTCGCAGCCTCCTAAACCCCCAGGCGATGCACCCGGTTGCTGCCATCTGCGCCACGGCACAGAAACCAGGACATGTGCTGCTGCTGCTGCTGCTGCTGCAGGGGCAGCACTGCCCAGCCCACTCACCTAGCCGGGATCGAGTCGGCCTCCCACGAAGGGTTGGCCGCCAGGATGCAGGCTTGCAGGTTGGGGTGCCGCCCGCCCGCGAGCTCTTGCCACTTAGACAGGCGGTCCCGCTTGGGCCGTATGGTCAGAGGTGCAAACAGCCTGTACTCTGCAAACTCTGCAGCAGTGGCAGTGCGCAGGCTGGAGTCGGCACCCAGGGGCCAGCATGCCAGCATGCAGCAACAGCGGGCAGGGGCAGCAGCCGCTGCGAGCACTCGCTCGCAAAGCCCAGGTCTGGCACGCAGGCCATTCGCTGTGCTGTAACCAGCTGCACGGCGTGGGCTCACCGAACAGGCCACAGGCGTTCAGCATGCCATGGCTGTACAGGTAGTCATACACCAGCGACTGCGTTCAAAGCACGGCGTCACGGATGGTGGGCTGGAGCAGCCACCGATTCCCGAGCCACCCGACCCGCTGCCTCTCTCCCGGTTTGAGCCAGACAGCAGCGCAGCGACAGGTGCCCTTGCCTTCATGTCGAGCGCAAGGATTTTCGCGTCCATCTGTGCCAACTCCACATCTTTCTGTGACGCCGCCAACTCCTTCTGTGCCGCCACCAAATCCTCCTGTGCCGCCACCGCCGCGTCCTTCTGCGCCGCCTCGCCCGTCTGTGCCGCCGCCAACTCCTTCTGTGCCGCCACCAATGCCGCGTCCTTCTGCGCCGCCTCGCCCGTCTGTGCCGCCGCCAACTCCTTCTGTGCCGCCACCAACTCCTTCTGTGCCGCCACCAACTCCTTCTGTGCCGCCACCAATGCCGCCTCGCCCGTCTGTGCCGCCGCGTCCTTCTGTGCCGCCTCGCCCGTCTGTGCCGCCGCCAACTCCTTCTGTGCCGCCACCAACTCCTTCTGTGCCGCCACCAATGCCGCGTACTGCTGTGGCGCCACCACGTCGAAGGCCAGCAACGCCGCGTCTGCTGCGAGCAGCTCTAGCTGCTTCCGAGCCATCGCCCTCTTGATGCGCGGCGCCTGCAGCAGCTCGTCCATGTCCGCCAAATCCTGCTGCAGAACTCGGTAGCTCTCGGTATAAGCAGCTGCTGCCCGGGGTACTCGCTGACTGCATCTGCTGGCTACGGTGCGGGCGGCAGACCGCAGAGGGCTGTGCAGGCCGTGCAGGGCGCACGAGCCACGCACAGCCTGCAGCAGCATTCGCGCGCCTGGAATCATGGAAGGCAGGAAAAGCGATGGCTGTGTTGAGGGGCGTCACAAACGAGACACCGCGCCTCATCAGAGCTGCCGGCCATGCACAGCGTGCAATGCCCGCCGCCAGCGCCGCCGCCGGCGGACATGCGGCGGGAGGCCTCGCCCAGGCTCACAAACATGTCTGCCTGCGCAGGGTCGAGCGCACAGCTGGCCAGCAAGGGCCACCTCGCGGGTGCGCCCTTGGCGTGGCGCACCTGCTCTCACGCTGTGCATGAATCACAACAGCAGCAGCAGCGCCACCGGCCTCGCAGGGTTTTGACAGCACCCATCGCAGCAGTCCAGCACCAAATGATCATGCCAGGGAGTCCGGCAGGGACCACAGGCGCCGCCTTCAAGCTGAGCGTGGCCCCCAACAAGCAGCTGCCGCTCGGTGCGCATTGCACGACGCGTTGCTGGCATTGGTGCAGCGGCTCGACAGAGGCGCTAGAGGCGGCTTATTAGGAGCAGCCTGGGGCCACTGGGGATGTTTAAGATGGCTGAGAGCGCCAGGGAGGCTGCACTCTTGGCAGCACGAGCTTGGCTATATGCAAGGCCACTTTATACGGCCCAGGGACCTCGGCACGAGCAGCGCGGCTTGCGCAGTGACGCCTTCGTGACTGCAGGGGGTGGCTGCTCGTCTCCCGGTCCGCGGGGTCTGGCAGCGACACAGGGCAGGGGCTGCAAGAACAACTGCTGGTAGCAAAGCGTTATAATCTTATAAGGGTGGTTGTAAACCAATGCTGACGTGGCACGCGCTGAGCTGGCGGGTTTCCTAGATGCTTGAAGGGCCGTGAGTTTACGCGCAATCAATGCCGAAACTGAATGCCGTCGCAACAGGGCGGCGACCGATCGAAGAAGTGGAGGCGGGCGAGGCGAGGCGGTGCAGCCCGGAGGCTGCGCCAGGCACTGCGGCCAGCTCCAGGCCCATCCTGCCCCATCCTGCCCCTGCCTGCCCCTGCCTATCTCCTGCCCCGCCGATCGTAGTCGATGCTGCAGCCAAACAGGTCCAGCACGCGCATCGCGCTGCCGGCGACCCCCGCGCCACGCAACGCCACGTCGCCCGCGCCGCCGTCGGCGCCAGGCGCCGGCTTGCCTGCGGCGGCCATGGGCACGGCACAGAGCGTGCGCCTGAGCATGCTGCCGGCAGGCAGGGCCGGGTGTGCCTCCACCTCAAGGCCAGGCATGGAACCAGTACACAACAACTCAAGAAGCGGGCAAGGCGCTCCTCCCTGCCGCCGTTGGCGCCGCGCACACCTGGCGTCCCCGCCAGGTCAGCCGTCATCTTGACCTGCCAGCTCAGCTCCTTGGCTCGCTTCTCCGCATCCGCCAGCGACACCTGCGGTGGCGCCAGGCTGGCAAGACCCCAGGTCGATCCCAGAGCCGCGGGCAGGCGCAGGGGCAGCGGCGGCGGGGGGCTGGCGGCACGCGCTGGGGCGCCGTGCTGGTGGCACGCACAGGAGAGCGCTCGCCGCAGCAGGCAGCCGCCAGCCGCACGCCAGCCTGTCCCACTCCCAGCCCCGCAGGTGGGCCCCTCCCAGCCCTGCAACCCACCTTGAGCTTGTCAACCTCCGCCTCGGCCGCCGCCGCACGTCGCCCCGCCGCCGCCGCCGCCAGCTCCGCAGCCTCCGCCCGCTGCGCCAGCCCGCCCTCCTCCCCCGCCTCCTCCCCATCCTGCCCGCCACCGGCCACGCCGCCGCCGCCGCCGCCGCCGCGGCGGGTGGGCGCCGCGTCGATGTCGGCCTCGGCGGCTGCCGCCGCCAGCTCCGCCACGCGCAGCGACAGCTCGATTTTGGCGGCCTCCGCGGCCTCCGCCCGCGCCTGCACATCCGTTAGCCTGTCCCTGCAGGGAGGCAGGGGGCAGCAGCAGAGAAGGGCGGGGCATGGCAAGGGCGTTTAAACACAAAGCAGCAGCGCCCACGCTGCCCGCAGCCGCGGCGCATTGATTGCCTGCCCCGTGGCAGCCAGCCCCTCCAGCCGCAGCCCCCACCTGGCTGCATTCAGCTGCTGCTCCAGGCTGCTCTGCTGCTGCTGGGCCGCAGCCGCCGCTGCCGCGAGCTCCCGCTCCAGCTGCTGCTGCGCCGCGGCGGCCGCCGCGGCCGCCTCCGCGGCCGCCTCGGCGTGCGCCCCGCGTGCCGCCTCCAGCGCCGCCTCTGCCGCCGCCAGGCGGCCCGCCTGTTGCGCCGCGGCGGCTGCCGCAGCGGCGGCAGCAGCCTGGGCCGCCTCCATTGCTGACGTGGCGCCATCCAGCTGGGAGGTGGCAGCTGCCGCCTCGTGGCGCGCGGCCTCGGCGGCGGCCTCGGCGGCGCCGCAGCGGGCGGCGGCCTCGGCAGCGGCGGCCTGCGCCGCGCCAGCCGTCGCCTGCATGCTGGCCAGCTGCTCGCCGAATTCCTGCTCCTTCTTCTTGAAGCCGGTCTGCAGGCAGAAGAAGAAGAAGAAGAAGGTAATACGTGGGACGCGTAGTTTGCAATTCGGCCGTACTTGGAGGAAGCGAGGGGGGTAAGACGGCTGGGCGAGTCGGGCACGGCAGGGCAGCATGCAAGCCAGGGGGGCATGCCGGGGCGGGCATGCAGAGCGTGTGTGCTGGGATGCGGGTGGCAGGGGTGGGAGGGATGCGTGGTGCGGTTGCATTCGACTCTCCAAGCCCAGATGACCCTTGCAGGAGGAGGGCCCAGCTCCTGGCAGGCCCCCAGCCAGGCGCCAGCCGTGCCAGGTGCCAGCCATATGCCCGTTGCCCCACGTGCACACTGGCCCCACACAGGCCCCACACACAGGATCCCCCGCCGCACCTGCACCAGCAGGAAGCGCTTCTGCCGCTCCTCCGCCTGGCGCTGCAGCTCCTGCACCTCGCGCCGCGCCGCCTCCGCCGCCGCCTCCGCCGCCTCCATGCGCCGCTGCATGTCGGCCGCCGCCGCGGCGGCCTGCGCCTCGCGAGCCCCGGCCGCAGCCGCGGCCGCCGCCGCCGCCTCTGCAGAGCCCGCCTGCTGCTGCAGCGCCTCGAGAGCGGCGGCGGCCGCCGCCGCGTCCTGCCGCGCCGCCGCCAGCTGCTCCCGCAGCTCTCCAGCCGCCGCCTCAGCCTCCTGCCGCGCCTCGGCAAGCGCCGCCTGCCGTGCCGCGGCCGCCGCCGCCGCCGCGGCAGCCTCCGCCTGCTGCGCCCGCTCCTGCTGCCCCTCTGCGTCCGCCGCCGCCGCGGCCGCTGCCTGCTGCTCCAGCTGCTGCCGCATCTCAGCCACCTCCTCTTGCAGTTCCGCCGCCTCATCATCTGCCGCCTCTGCCGCCTCCTCCGCCACCCGCAGCCGCTCCTGCAGGGCCGCCTGCTCCGCCGCCGCCGCCTCCAGCCGCTGCCCAGCAGCCGCCAGCTCCCGCTGCGCGTCGCCAGCCACCGCCTCGGCCGCCGCGGCGCGCTGCTGCGCGTCGCGGACCGCCGCCGCCGCCAGGCCGGCCTCCGCCTTGGCGCCCTCACGCAGCGCCTCCAGCTGCTGCTCCAGCTCCTCAACCTGCTGTGCCTGCCGGGCCGCCGCAGCCTGAGCCTCCTCCGCCTCCTGCCGCGCCATGCGGGCGTCGGCGCTCGCCTGCTCGGCCGCGACGCCGGCCGCGGCGGCCGCCGCCTGCGCCTCTTGCAGCTGCCGCTGCAGCGAGGCTGCCTGCTCCTGCAGCTGCGCCGTACGCTCGGCGTCAGCGCTGGCGCTGCCGGCTGCCGCTGCGGTCGCAGCATCCAGCTCCGCCTGCAGCGCAGCCAGCTGCTGCCCCTGCTCCTCAGCCGCCGCCGCGGCCGCCCGCCGCGCCGCCTCGGCATCTGCCAGCTGCTGCCTGAGCGCCGCCGCCGCCTCCCCGGCCTCGACCTCGGCCGCCGGAGCCGCCTCCAGCTGCTGCTGCAGCGCGGCCACCTGGGCACGCTGCGCGCTGAGCTCTTCCTTGAGCTCCTTCTGAGCAGCCTGCAGTGCCGCCGCCTCTGCCTGCTGCTGCTCCAGCTGGCGCTGCAGAGACTGCTGCTCTTCCTGGGCTTGCGCCGCAGCGGCCTGAACCTGCTCCTGCAGCGCCGCCGCCTCCGCCTGCTGCTGCTCCAGCCGCCGCCGCGCCTCCGCCTCCGCCTCTGCCGCCGCCGCCGCGGCCGCCTGCTGCGCGGCGGCCAGCCGCCGCTGCTCCTCCAGCTGCGCGGCAGCTTCCTGGGCCTGTTGCCGCGCAGCCACCAGCGCCGCCGCGTCCACAGCGCCCTCGCTGCTGCCAGCAGCCGCCTCCAGCTGCTGCCTCAGCTCGTCCTCGTCGCCACGCATCGCCGCCAGCTCCGCCCGCGCAGCCGCCAGCTCAGCCGCCGCAGCGGCCGCCGCCGCCTCTCTGGCAGCCGCCGCCTCTTCCAGCTGCGTGCGGGCGCCGGCCAGCTCTGATGCGGACTCGCGAGCCTGCCCACCCACAGCCTCCAGCTGCTCGTGTGCGGCAGCCGCCTCGTGCTGCGCCTCCTCCAGCTGCTGCCGCAGGTCGGCGGCGTGCTGCGCCGCCGACGCTGCCTGCTCCTGCGTCGCCGCCAGCTGGGCAGCAGCCTGCTCTGCAGCGGCCGCGGCAGCGGCGGCCCCCGCACTGCTGCCCTGCAGCTGCTCCTGCAGCTCGGCGGCCTGTGCAGCAGCGGCTTCGCGGGAAGCCGCAGCCGCAGCAAGCTCCTGCTGCTGCTGAGCTGCCTGCAAAGCCGCCGCGTGCTCCGCAGCCACGGCCTCCGCCGCTGCTAGCTGCTGCTGCGCTTGCTGCAGCTGCTCCCGAAGCTGCTGCCTCTCCTCGTCGTCTGCAGCAGGTGCCGCCGCCTCCTCCAGCTGCTGCTGCAGCTGCGCCGCCTGCGCCAGCGCCGCATCCCGCTCCCCGCCGGCATCAGCCGCCTGCTTCTTGAGCACCTGAAACTGCTTCTTTGCTTTGGCAAGCTTCACCCTCATAGCAACCAGCTCCTCGGCAGCTGCCGCCTCCTCGGGGGCACCCTCTCCTGCCGCCGCAGCCGCAGCAGCCGCCTCGGCAGCGGCGGCGGTCGCGGCGGCGGCAGCCTGCTCCCGCGCCTCTGCCGCCTCCTGCTGCGCCGCCGCCAGCTGCTGCTGCAGCGTGGCCACCTCGTTCCGCAGCTGCTCCGCCGCCGCCGCCGCCGCCGCCGCCCGCGCATCCGCGGCCGCGGCCGCGGCGCCGCCGCCGTCGCCGCCCGCCGCCGCCGCCTTGTGCTCCCGCAGCTGCTTGTGCTGCTGGCGCAGGCGGGTCAGCTGCGCGCCGGCCCGCTGCGCCTCCTTCTCCGCTTGCGCCTTGGCCTGCTCCGCGGCGGCGGCGGCCTGCTGCGCCGCCGCCAGCTGCTCCTTGTAATCCTCCAGCTCACCCAGCGCATCCGCGGCAGCCTGCACCCAGGGGAGGCGGCACGCACAGCATCATTCAGGCGGCACAGCATTCAGGGAGCATTCAGGCGGCATGCGAAGCGTCATTCAGCGTGCACAGGGACTCAGTGCAGGGCGACGCAGGCTGCCAGCTGCAAACGGGAGCCTGGGCGGTGACGCAGCCGCCACATGCAGCAGCGGCGCCCCTGCAAGGCAGGAGGGGAGACGTAGGCCGGCGCGGCGCCCCCCAGCCAGGTCACCCACCGTCTCCACTGCCTGCAGCCTGCTCCTCAGGCTGCGGTTCTCGGCCGCCGCGTCGCCGCCGCCGCCGCCGCCCCAGCCGTTGCCGCTGGCGCTGCCGCTGGCGCCCTGGCGCGCGCTGGAGCTGCTGGCGGCGCGTGGCACCGCCACCGCTGAGTCCACCGGAATGCCATCGGCATCGAATTCGAGGTCGTCATCCTGCCGGGCGGAGGGAGGGGAGTGCTGTGGGTGGGTGGTGTCGGTTGCGGCGCGAGGCGGCGCCTGCTGCGCCCGGCAGGCGGGGCGGGCGAGCCTCACCGTGGGCGCCTTGAGCTCCAGAAGCGTGCCCACATGCTGCCGGGCGTTGCTCTGCACGGCGAGGGGAGCCTGGCGCGTTGGGCGGGCAGGCGCGGCCAGCGAGGAAACAAGCAAGGCGAAGCACCCACCAGCTGCTCCGCCGCCGCCGCCGCGTCCGCGCCGATTTCCTCCGCCACCTCATTCGCCTTGTCCAAAGCCTGCTGCGCCAGCGAGCTCAGGTTCCCCCACAGCGACATTGCCTGCCCTTGCTGCTGCCAGACTGCTCGGAGGGCCTTGCTTGCCGGCTGTCAGTCTCGGCCTGGGGCCGCCTTGTTGGCTGAACTGTTTCAAATGGGCACGGAGCGAGCTGTTGAGCAGCACCGCTGTCCGTTCCACTTATCGCTGTGCAACAACCCTGCCGCAACAACCGAGACTCAGCCGCTCCCAGGGATCGGATGCTGCTCCCGCAGCATGTGCCAACAACGCGCTGCCCCCGCGTTGGTGCACTACGTCCTGGGGCTTGGGCAGTACTGCACGCTGGCGGGCGCCGCCGCCAGCGGTATGCCTGCCTCCAGGGCTGTCAAAACAGGGCACAGGCCAGCTTGTGTTACAGGAACCCAGTCACTACTGACACACGCACGCACAGCACAGCAAGCGCCCCGATCACACCGCTGACGCCAGCCGTCGGTTCCTTTTGCCGCCGCCCCCGCTCTCCTCGCCGCTCTCCTCGCCGTGCTCCTCGCCACCGTCGAGCCCCCGCTGGAACACCGGCAGCACGGTTTCGTTGGGGTTGCGCGGCAGGAAGCGCCACGGCGCGCCCGTGCCGATCCACGACTCCTTGTGCTGCGGTACCAAGTTCTCCGCGTGTGCAGCATACATAGGCTGGCCATGCCAGGGCCGCCAGCTCTCGTCCCGCGGGCCGTCCCGCGGCGTCAGGCGCAGCACCACCACGTCGTGCAGCCCCCACA